CCTAAGTTATTTGTAGACTGCTTTTTTAAAAAGTTTCTTAACACTTTCTAGTGTTTACATCGGTGTACAACTGTCTGTAGAAAAATACCTAGGGACAGTATTAGGCAGACAAGGATATGATCCAATATAACACTTTTGGGGGCTTAAACTTGTCTGTAGACATCATCATCACCACAGTGGAGACAGAAAATTCCATCCTACTGTTCCTACCCTGACCTTCACTGCGCATCCTGTTCCCTGTCACTCTCCTTTGTCTTCTGTCCTTTTCCCCTCCGCAGCAGTGCCTTTGCATTCATCTGAATTTCGTGAGACAATAGTTTGATACTTCTTATCTTGTAGTGTTCCATTACACCGATTTACCAATTTATAGACATTCGAGTGTTGTTGAAGATCATCTTGATATTATTTTGTGTAACCCCAGTGAGTGTCTTTTCATATGTTTTTTTCTCCTTCCATATATCCTGTTTGGTGAAGTTGTGTTTAATTAAGCCTTTTACCCATTTAAAAACCAACCTGGGGCCAGGGATTTAGCTCAGTGGTGCTGTTGCCTGCCTTGCTAGCACAAGGACCCGAGTTCAATCCCCCAGACCAAAAAAAAAAAAACAGATAACATAAACCAACCTGTTTGTCTTCTTAGTATTGAGTTTGAAGAGATCATTATATAGTGTGGATAAAAGTCCTTTGTTAGGTGAGCTGCAAATATTTTCCCCCATCTCAACTTGCCTTTTCTATTTTTCATAGAGCCAAAAATTTTTTTTAATTATTTCAGTGAAGTTTGATAAATCATCTTCATTCATGAGGATTACTTTTGATGTTATGTCCGTATTTTTTTTGGTTTTGTTTTTTGTGTGTGTGTTGTCGTCGTCGTTGTCATGTCCCCCCCTCCCCCATCAAACTCCTCAGGACCTTGTGCTTGGAAGGTAGGCTCAAAGCCACTGAGCTAAATCTCCAGTCCTGTAGTTTTGGGTTTTGTTTTTGTTTTTGTTTTTGAAGACAACTTTCAAACATAATTATAACAACCTACTTAGAATTGTCACAATACAGAAATTTCTTTCTTCTTATAACTCATATGTGGAAATGAAAGCAAGGTTTTTTTGGTTTTTTTTCCCCCTTTTGGCAGTACTGGGAAATGGGACACTTGTCAAGAAAAAAAAGTGACAGTTCAGGTTATCGTGAATAAATATTTTTCTGAATTATCTAAGGTTAGTGAAGTGTACTCTGAGAATTCATGATTATCAAAGGATAGGAAAATACTCAGAAGAATTTGGGAAATGGTAAAAATGAGGGCCAGGGATTTAGCTCACTGGCTCTGCTCCTGCCTCACAAGTGCAAGGTCCTGAATTTGATCCCCAGTCCCCAAAAAGGTAAAAATGAAAAAATCTCTTATAGACTGACTCACAGTATAGAAATAACTGTTTTCATTATTTGTGGGAATTTTTGGTTTGGTAGAACCTTAATGTCTTGGTTTATTGTCACTGAGACAGAATATCTGACACCCATGAGAAGAGGTTTATTTTGGCTCCCAGTTTATAGAGGTTTTAGTCTGTAGTTGGCTGGCTCCAAGGCAGGTCAGCAAGGCAAAGGGGCATCACAGAGGAGAGAAAGTCCATGGCAGGGCATGCAAAGAGAGATCAGGGAAGAAACAGGGTATATTATACCCTTCCAGGCCATGCCCACAATGACCACCTCTTCTCACCAGGCTTCACCTCCAATCTCACCCAGCTGTACACCTATCAGTGGATGATCCAGCATCACACACCCATCTTGTCAGATTAAAAGATAAATTTAAAATTAAATCTTAATTTTTATTATGACTAACACTTAGAATGAAAACCAGATCAGATCTGATGTAGTTTTTTTCATACACAGACTTTTTGAATTCTAGAATATAGTGAACACTTTGCATTAGTATTATATACAATGCATTTTTTTTCATGGTTCACACTGTCGTATGTTAAGCCATTTTTGCATCTTCAGTGACTGATATTTAACTATTGGCAGGAAAAAAGTATGAAGGATCAATTATTTTAAGTCTAAAATTGGTTTTGGTTTCTGTCCTATAACCATCACTTGGTTTGTACCCATTTAGCCATACAGGATATTCTCTTAACCTTGCAATAGATTTTATAAATTACTCACATTGGGGAACTTGGCATGGGGGAGTCACATTCCTCAATGGTAGACATTGTGATGGCCGTGAAGGTTATTTGACTATTCCTGCTTTAGAATATTTTACTTAAAAAATCACAATTGTACATATGGATGCTGAAAAACATCTGGGAAATTTAAATACCATGTTAAAAAAAAATCCTCAGTAGTGCTGGCTGGATGTGGTAGCACACTCTGGGAGACTGAGTCAGAAGGATCACAAATTCTGAGCACCTTAAAGGCAAACCTGGCCTCAAGAAATAGCCAGGTATGGTGGTGCACATCTGTAAACCCCAGCACTCAGGGAGGCCGAGGCAAGATCACCATGAATTCAGGGCCAATCTGAACTACATAGTGAGATTCTGATTCATTACCCTCCCCCAAAAGAATGAAATTAATAACTATAAAACATAAAACAGGAAAAATTTATCGACTTCTGAAAATCCCAAAGTAGACTTTAATAAATGTAAAGAAATTCCCTATGCTTGGTTAGGATCATTTAACATAGAACTGCCTAATATAATTTATGACCATAACACAATTGCAATAAAATATCTCTTATCAACAAGGTTTCTTACAGAATTAGGCAAGTTGGAACTTTCTGTGAAGCTTTCTTAAGTTAAAGCATTGTGTTCCTGGTACAGTGGACCAGAGGAACGTGATAGGAAAGCTAAGTTCAAGCATGTATGGGAATTGAATACATGGTAAAGGAATCTCAGATCACTGGTCAAAGATGAACTTCTGATAACTAGTGCTGGAACAACTAGTTGGAAGTAGTTGGGATAGGTATTTGGAAATGATAAATTTAAATCACACTGTACAATACAAAAAACACTCTCAAAATTGGTTAGGAATCTAAATGTAAACAAGAAATCATCTAAGTGTTAAAAGGAAACAGTGCTGTATCCCACTGTAATTGCAGCATAGGGAAAGGATTTCTGGGACTAGAACCACAAAGAACAATACAGTTAACTATGAAGTTTGTTGTATGATGAAAAACATCACACATGAAGTCTAAAAATAACAAGATACAGCATATACCACTAAGAGCTGTGCTAAAAATGAAAACTTGAGGGACTAATGTGTATAAACCCAAGGAAAAGATGAACACACTTCAAAAAGAAAAAGAAGATATAGAAGTGACCTTTAAGCATATTGTTAAAAATACTCACAGTTTGAATAACAATTAAAATACCTTATCAATGTGAGTAAAGAGTTTATGTGTAAATATGAAGAAGAGCTCTTTCAAGACAGTTAAGAAAAAATAGACCGTCACCACTGTCCCCACTGTAAAACATACAGATGGTTGGTAATTGTTTTAAAAATTAACCTTCACGTACATGCAATGGCATATAAAAAATGAGAGCTTTTTTAATTTATGAAACTTAGCCTCAGGTTGAGAAAAAACAGTGTTTAGAGTTTAGAGTTTGGTAAAATATACATTTTCATACAGTGTAGAGAAAAATGTAAGGAATACAAATATTTTGCCATTGTGGATTAAAGTCCCAAGACTTTCCTATTCTCTGCAAGTCTCTGCACTAGTGATTTACTCTCACAAAATCTTAAAGTACTTACCTAAGGAGATATTAATTGCAACATTTCTCCAGAGTAGTGAAAAATTGGAAGTTATCTAGTAACAAGCATTTCTTATGTGCTCATGCAATGAAGTACTGTGCAGCTATTACCATGGTCTGATGAATAAAAATTTAAAGTATAGAAAGATGCATACTCTAGGACTATTATATAAGTAAAAATCTTGTGATACTGGAAAGTGATTAGAATATGCAAACTGATATAGTAGTTTCATCTGCCTCTTAAAGGATACCACCACAGAAAAGTCCATTTAAGATGTTGGTAGGTTTAACAAAGTTGGAATGCTGGCACTGTTGAATTGGGCAACAGTTCTTCAGACCTGTCTCAGAGCTACAATGCATTTAGTATATTAAAGCAGCTGACACGATGACCTTTTGCGGGCCTTTGCAGGAGTTTTTCTGTTAATTTGCCACACTAGGTCATAAAAGATCTCATTAACATTTATTTTTGACTTTGCAGAAGATTCTAAGAAAGCACAGTTGTTCCACTGTCTTGCTAGATTTTGACCTTGTTCCTTTCCTACAACTCTTTCGTCTTCCAAGTCACATTTATTACCAACCAGAATCATCGGCACATCATCAGTATCTTTAACTCGAAGAATCTGTTCTCTCAGATCTTGTAAATCATTAAATGTGGACTGTGCTGTGATGGAATAAACTAAAGCAAAGCCTTGTCTGTTTTTCATGTATAATTTCATTGCTGTAAATTGTTTCGTTCCTGCAGTATCCAAAATTTCAAGCATACACTGCTGTGCATCTACTTCAGCTTGCTTTCTATAAGAATCTTCTATCGCAGGATCATATTTTTCAACAAAAATTCCTTGTACAAAGTGTACAGTCAGAGCAGACTTTCCAGCACCTCCTGAGCCTAGAACGACTCACTTATGCTCACACATGATGCCAGTGTAACAACCTGAGCACCTCTCACGCTGTCACTGGGTCACTGCAGCCAGTGTCACCTGCGCTCCCTCCAGGTTGCTGCTCCCAGTGCCACGGCTCTGCTGCCACTGCCACTCGGGCTGGTTTACACGCCTGACTCTGGGCGAGGTTTCAATAGAATATATTTTTAAAAAAGAAACCAGTGCTGCCTGCCTTGCAAGCTCCAGTACCAAAAAAAAAAGAAAGCAAGACTCAGGAAAAAAAAGCTATACTGTACAGAATGCCTCAAAGTGTGAAAGTTGAATGTGTTAAATAAAATTTCTCTATAAAACACCCATAGGACATCTGAAGTTAATATTTTCATGTTCTTTCCTTTGATAGTATTGAGATTGAAGAAGAAACAGATAAAGCAGATGGAAATAAAAAGAGAATACATGATAGGAGCTTTGAGAGTACTATGAGGAAAAAGGGAAAGGTGAAACACTAGATGTAGGAGAAAATAAATGTGAAAATAAAAAATGTTTAAAGAATAAAATGGGGAAAATACAAGATAAGTATAGCTGCTATACACTGAGCATTGCGGCATTTCTGGGAGTCACTGTGCTAGGTTTCCTCCAATTTCTTGCTCAGAGCCATGGGCCTTGTGCCTTGTTCCAAATGAGGGTCTGCACTGACTTTGCAGCCAGCAGGTGCCCCCTGGGACTCTGATGTGGGGTTGCTCCTTGGCTTTATTCTCATACGTTTCCTGCATTTGTGAGGAGTAAAAGAGGAGGAGAAATGCAGATTCAACACCCAGTTCTGTTTTGGACAGCAATGTTATCCACTGAAAAAAACTAGTGGTAATTGACTAGAGGCCCTATTAACCTTTGCCCCTTTGTGCGCCTTCCCTGAAAGGTTTTTCAAAGGAACCTCTCTAAATGATGGCTGAATTCACCAGACAGTAGGACACACAGCATGCAAGCTGACTCTCTGGGGCAGACTCTTTGCTGTTAACCTTGGTAGATACCTCTGTAATGCTTGTGTCTTATTTTATTTTGAGGATCTTGTCAGTAAACTGAGTAATCTTATAATTATGAGATCAGCTGTTTATTTTATGACGTAACTGTGACAACAAAAACTTTTTTTTTTTTTTTTGGTACTGGGGCTCGAACTCGGGCCCTTGCACTCGCAAGGCAGGTGTGGAACCACTGAACTAAATCCCCAGCCCAACAAAAACATTTTTAGTATTCAAAATTAAAGGTAGTCTTTAGGAAAAAAAAAAAACTCATTTCATCATTTCTTTTCCTGAGCAAAACAGGAAACATTACAATAAATGTATAAATTTTGTAGGGAAGTCATTTTCAATTTTGTAATCTTACTGATCTACATGGACTTAGGAAGTGGTTTTGTTTTTCCAATCAAAATATTTTTTTTGATACATTATTTCTTTTCTGAAATAGATCATTTTAGTACTAAGAGAGTTTAGAATTGTTTTGAAATCTGAACTGTTAAAATCATAAAATATTTTCTGAGATTGAAAATTTAATGTTTTCCTTGATTCTAGTTGCCTTTCCAGACTTTTGTAAATGTGGATAAATTTTTGAAATTCTACTTTGTCTGGAATTTGGGGTTTAAATTGTATTTCATATGACTAAGGAGCACTTTGTATGAGGTGTGTAGCTTTGTTTTTGAGTTACTTGTGTCAGTGGAAGTACACTTCAATCTAGAGAATTAGAAAGTAATGTTAAATTTCTCTTTTGCTCCTTCCCCTCATTTTGTGAAGGCTCCTGTTCCAAAGAGTGCGCTTATTCCAGTAATTCCCATCACCAAATCAACAGGTTCCCGGTTCCGGAATAGTGTGGAAGGATTGAATCAGGAGATTGAAATAATAATTAAAGAGACTGGGGAAAAGGAAGAGCAGCTTATCGTAAGTAATCTTAGATCATAAAATCAATCTCAACATATGAAGTTATCTAATTATTTAAAATGTATCAATTTTAATGCCCACATTTACGTAGAGCTCTTCTTTCTTGAGAGAAAATGGAAATTTATCTCATTTGAAAAACCTTGACTTTGGCAAGTGATTGAAAGTTTTTCATGTCTTTTCACCTCAGAGGCAATTGACCCGATTTAAATCAGGATCTTGGAACAGAAACTTTTTTTTTTTAGTTGTTGTTTATTGTTTTTTGTTTTTTTGGTATCAGGGATGGAACTCAGGACCTCATACCTGCCAGGTAGGTGCTGTGCTGCCAAGCTACATCCCTGGCCCCAGAAGCTGTTTTTTACCTGTGATAGTCAAGGACAAATGATACACTTTTCATTGCTAGAACTCTTTAACCAAAGTTTATGTTATAATTTGTGGGGGTTACAAGACAGAATTGTTCTTTAACTTGAGTGTCTACCTTTTCCTTGCTGTTGATTGTCAGTTATTATTGGTTTGGGGTGACATGCTATGTTCATGAAGTGCAGGTGGAAGTGCTCTTATCCTTTCTGCTAGAATGTGTAGAAAAAAAAGGTTCTTGTTTAAAACAGGAAGAAGAATTACTACTTAGATTTAAATATCATGTCACAGAGCACACTTACCTAATCACCTGCTTTTCAGTGAGGGAGGAATTAGGGAATTTGCCTTTTTTTTTTTTTTTTTTGGTACTGAGGATCAAACTCAAGGTCCTTGCACTTGCAAGGCAGGCAGCGGAACCACTGAGCTAAATCCCTTGCCCAAATTAGGGAATTTGAAGTAATATTTTATTGATATTTTAAGATCCTCTCCCTTAGGAAAAGGATTGGTTTAGCTTAAAGAAACAATTCCCCAGACTTTCCCCTCTGTTGCATCATGCAAAAGCTGTGATGAAGGTGAATGAGGCAAAAGTATGCAGGAAACTGGTTCCCTGCTAAGTGAGCCACACAAGCTTTTCTCTGGGTGTCTGTTTGATTTCACCCTGTAATTAGCACTGCTATGATTAACCTTTCCCTCAGGTAAGAAGGGTTTAGAAAAATACAACCTGGAGGAAGTGAGGAAGGTGAGGAAGAGAGAGTGAACAAAAGCCTGTTACTAGTTGACACAATGGATAACCTTTTCCTAGTAGGAACCTAGTTCCTCCTCTACGCTTAGGTTCCTCCCCTTTTACCATGATTTATGATTTTTTGTTTGTTTGTTTTTTTGACAGGGTCTCACTATGTAGTTGAGTCTGACCTAGAACTCAGTATGTAGCCCAGGCTGGTCTCAAACTCACAGCGATCCTCCTGCCTCAGCCTCCTGAGTGCTGGGATTACAGGTGTGAACTGCCACGCCCACTCATGATTTATGATTTTAAAAATGACCTTTAGGGCTGGGGATGTAGCTTAGTGCTAGAGTGCTTGCTAACGTACATGAGGCCCTGGGGTCAATTCTCAGTACCACAAAAAATAATAGCATTTTGTACATGATAAATAATTCAGTATAGTTCATTTCAATGAGAATTGGCCACCTGCTGTGTACCAAGTGCTAGAAAGGCAAATTCTTCACCCAGGATGCTCAGTGGAGTATCAGGCAGCAATGTCACTAATAAGCAACACAAAGGCCTAGTAAATAGAGAATTTGTAAGTTTCTGGCACAACAGGGGAAGGTTAACTTGGGTGCATGCATAGTTAGTGAATCTCAAAGTCAGTGATAAACCATTGTTTGTTAAATGCCCTGACAGCCACAGGATATTCCGGATGGCCACCGTGCGCCTCCCCCACTTGCCCAGAGAAGCAGCAGCACCCGCAGCATTGACACACAGACACCTGGAGGTGCAGACAGAGGAAGCAACAACAGTAGCCGTTCCCAGTCTGTGTCCCCCACATCCTTCCTCACTATCTCCAATGAGGGCAGCGAGGAAAGCCCCTGTTCAGCCGATGACCTGCTGGTTGATCCCAGGGATAAAGGTGTGTAATACTGGAGAATCCATCGTGGGATGATGGCTGAATACCACCTTTTTCACATTCATTCTGCTCATTTTCTAGCAGAGCTCATACTGGAGCCTACCAGCATAGTGGGTTCTATCAAAGATTGAAAAATTTGGATCACAGAACTATAGGTTTTGCTGTGGTCCTCAGGCAGTGTTCTGGTTTGGTGCATTTAGGATCTTTGTATATTTTTGCGGGTTTTCTTTTCTTTCTTTTTGGGGAGGATGGGAGGAGATACTGGGGATTGAACCTTAGGCCTTGAGCTGGTGAGCTACATTGCCAGATAGGTCTTGCCAAATTGTTCAGGTGGGTCTTGAACTTGCCGTCTCCTGCCTCAGTCTCCTAGAATGCTGGGATTATAGGCATGTGCCGTCACACCTGACTTGTTTGTAGTTTGTAATTTTTTTATATTTGTGAAAACAGCTTCCTTATTAGTGATTCCTGAAAATTTCTTTGTTCTGTCACTTTACTAGTAATAACTATTACCTTAATACTTTTTGATTAATATGAAACTTTGAAGTTAGTGTTTTTTAAGGATTTGTATTTGTGATATTTCTAACATGGATTAAGGTGCCATATGAAAGCAAGATGAGTGTTTAGAGCAAGCCTAAAATAAAAGTTGAAGATACTTAGATGCTGTATACATAACCTGGAGACAGAAGCAGTTTGAATATTAAGTACAACTATCCTACTTACCTCTACCAAGGCAATGTTTTCTTAGTCTAGTTTTAGTTATTATATGCACTTCGAAGCAATAATGAGACATTTATTTGTAAATTCTATGCCTCAGTTCAGTAATTTATTTAGAGCTTCCTACATACAGTGGGTTGAATGTACTAAAATGCTCCGCTATTAATAATTGCCTAAACCATTCACACTGTATATGAAGTAGGGAAGATGAGTTTCACTGAAAAACATTGCATCAGACTACAGAACAGCTGTAATCCTGGGCTTTTTTGTTTAAGTTTCTGGATCAAATAGAACATGGTTATTAAAATCTGCACCTTGATACTTCCATGCTTTCTGCTTCTACATGTAGGAATTGTTGGTGTCCTGATGCCTTTATTTTAGACTAGTGGCCAGTTGGCTTCTGTGAATATCTTTCATAAGAAGCCAGGGCCATACATACTGCTGTTGCCAGCAAGGAATTTGCAATTAACACAGATTGAAAATTTAGGAAGTTACGTAACACATCAAGAATTTTTTTTTGTGGTTTTTTTGTTTTTGTTTTTGTTTCGTTCTTTGGTCCCGGGGATCAAACTTGGGTCCTTGCTTTTGCTAGGCAAGCGGCAGAACCACTCAACTAAATCCCTGGCCCTAACATCAAGAATCTTAATAGTGTAAACTGAGGACATCACCCCTGAACAGGATATTAGAGTAAGGAAGTATTCCCTTGATAGAGTTAATTTGGAAAGATTTCGTAAACATTGAGGCAGACTTCAAAAGACGTTGTGAGAAAATGAACAGAATTTACCTCTTTAGGAAAATGGATGCTCAAAGGCAAAAGTAAGTGTTTGGTGTACAGTGACTGTCTGCCATGTAGACTGTAAGAGAGAAACAGAAATATTAACTTGGAAATTTCTGTCAGACAGGCTAAATATTAATGACAAACAGCCATTAAAGAACCATTTGGGGTACTTGTGTTGGAAAAAAATGCAAATGGTATTTGAGTGTATTTGCTGTGTATAGAATAGAAATAAAGAAGCTAAATTAGTGTTCAGTACTGAGGACTAAATGATACAGACCGAGGCTCTGATCATCTTAAGTGCAAAAGAAATTAGAGTCTTATATTTTTATGCATTTATTTAATAAACATCTCCATTTTCCTAAGAATTATGTTAGATATGGTAATGTTAATGAATATAACACTGTGCCTGTCCTCAAGTGGTTTATGTGTAGAAGTAAGTCACGGATAGTTACAGATGGCTTGACTATGCTCATTTGTAGTACATTTTAATAATTTGTCATGCTGTTTCTTGCAGAGAATGGAAACAACTCTCCTTTGCCCAAGTATGCAACATCCCCCAAACCTAACAACAGTTACATGTTCAAACGGGAGCCTCCAGAGGGCTGTGAAAGGGTCAAAGTCTTTGAGGAGTGCTCGTGAGTATTTCCCCCAGTTGTTTTATTGGAGTTTTTCAAATAAGTTGACAGAAGCATGTAGTGACCCAATATGTCTGCCACACAGATTATATAATTGTTTGCCTTTTGCAGTATTTGCTGAAAGTAGCTACAGTGCTCCAGCAGAGGCACAGTACTATTAGCACAGTGAAGAAAATTAATGGTAACAATGTTCAGACTTGACTCAGATTTCCTCAGCTGTCCAGTTATCTTCTATGGCTCTCATTTTTGTACCTGTATCCAGTAAGGTTCGCATGTAGAGTTTAGCAATGTATTTATTCAAGATAGACCACAGATTGTGGTTCCTTTCTTTAAGGATCAAATCTGCTTCAGTTTTTTGCCTACTTTTGGTCTCCAGTTTGTTAAAAAATTTGAAATACTTTTCCTGAACTCTTCCCTCCTACTTCAGTACCAGGCATGGAACTCTGGACCTTGTACTTGCCAGGCAGGTACAGTGCCAGTGAGCTAAATCCCCAGTCCTTGAAATACTTTTGGTGCCAATACAGGGAATAATTGTGTTACTTTGCAGAATCACTCATAGAACTGTGATGAAGAGAACGTAAGAAGATGGGGGTATTTTGGGGGGTCACTTAGAGCATGGTAGGTAAGCACTTGTACCACTGAGCTACCTTGAGTCCCAAGAAGCAGAATTTTAAATAGCATCTAATGCCTTTGGTATCTGATCTCCTATATTCATGTTCTTGTCTGCTATTCTCTCTTTCTCTTTTTTTTTTTTTGGTACTGGGGATCGAACTCAGTCCTTGCATTTGCAAGACAGGCACCAGAACCACTGAGCTAAATCCCCTGCCCCATCTGCTGTTCTCATTTTAAACTCACATTTCACCCACAAAGTATTCAGATTTGTGCTTTCAGTAGCTGTAGCTACTGCCCTACAAGTTATGGCTAAAGGTTAGCGGTGTGTATGAGATTGAGCAAATTAGTATGGCACATTCTAAACATTGTAGTATAGTACTTAGCCCTTGTCCCAATATGGTTACAAATCACAGAGCCACCCTTTTTTGTGTTTTCTTAGTATGAAACCTAAAATACAATAATATGGAGGTAATCTCACCTAGTTCAATTCATACAGTTTGTCTCTTCACTCCAGAATGTTCATGTTAGAAGAAATTTGAATATCTCAAATGCTTTTTTTTCTCTTATGTACCCTTTTTTGGTGCTTCTTTTAATCTAAATTCTGAGTGATCTTGCCATAAAAAGAGCATTGTCTTCAAATCCCTTCAGCTTCTCTGCAAGAAAACACCAGCTGTCATTCTCCTTATCTGCTTCTTCGGCAGTAATTGAGAACACTTAGAGCAACTGCTCATTTTAGTTTTTTTTCATAGTGTCAGCCTATAAGTTTTAACTAAGGCCAGCTGAAAATTTAAGCCAGTATTTCTGCAGATTTGACCATGGATTCCTTGAATCATAATCACTGGGAAATTTGAAACCAGATTCCCAGGCTGACTCAGGTCTTATGACCACTAAACATGGAAGCAGGACCTGCGCTCTTCATTTTTACCAAGTATCTTGGATAGTTTTTATCCTGAATTTGAAAATGCTGTCTTAGACTTTTTCACAAAAGTTCTTAAGAAAGGGGTCATTCTTTTAGCTAAATCATTTAGCCTGAATCTTGAATTCAGCTCTTTTAATTTTATTCATTGGTAGTTGGGATTTGCCTAAGTGCAAAGAAATGTCTGATTGGCTCAAAATCAATTTGATTTTTTTTAAGAGATGACCTTGAATATTTGTTATATAGGTGGATGCCCTATCTGTCTGATACTGTTATATTTGGGAAAGTATTCAGGACTTACTGTCTGGTGAATCAGTATTGTACTTTGTTTCTAAAAGAGAGGAGAAAAGACAAGAGTGAGTGTATGTGGGGGGGGGCTAGATAGATCAAAAAACACAAACAGGAAAACCCAACACATTATGTTTTATGGCACATTGAGCTGTTATGAGAAGTGTTTATTATAAATTTTACTGGTATAAAGGGTGTATAGCACTCAAAAACCTATTTATATTTTAATTATGTTCCAAAGGCTAATAATCAGTAATAATCCAGCAGTGGATTTCTTAACAGTAATTTTAACCAGTCAATAAAACATGTTCTTGAAAGTCTAAGAAAATTAGTCTCTTTTGCTCCAGCTATGAAATTAGATCAGAAAGCAATGGATACACTAGCACTAAAGCAAAGTTAGATTGTTCCTCATTTAAAAGTTAATTAAACAATAACAACAACAAAATAAGTCAACAAAAAAAAATTAAGATGTTCCCACTGGCTTTAAACATTGGTGATACATGCATTACTGTCCATCTGGCAGCTTGTGCCACCTGATGAGACTGTCCCATGCCGTGTGATGGGACAGTCACATGTGTACCAAGGTGATTCAGAGCTGCCCAGCACTAAGACATACGACTTATGGCCCCGTCATGAATGCGTCAGTCATTGTTTTGAGAATATCTTTTCTGTAATTCTTACTTTTGATTTAAAGTAGTCTCTTGACCTGAAGTGGGATTTGGGGTTGGGACAGGGTGATAACGGATTTCTAGAAATATTCGCTGTTTCATGAAAGAAAGTAGGTAATTCAGTTTGGGCCCAAAAGGGCAAGACCAGAGTTTGCAGTTTTATCTCAATAGGTTTGTTTTTTTAATAATAGCACATACCAGAGCCATGTCATCTACACTTAGTAAGTCGTTTACAATGAAGTTAAATATGTGCTTTCCTGATCTGAGCAAATGCAATCTTTGATCATATGTTTGTTTGTTTGTTTTGTTTTGTTTTTTGAGACAGGGTCTCACTATGTAGTTGAGACTGACCTGGAACTCACTATGTAGCCCAGGCTGGTCTCGAACTCACAGCGATCCTCCTGCCTCAGCTTCCCGAGTGCTGGGATTACAGGCATGAGCCACCATGCCCAGCCTGACCATATGTTTTCTCTTGCTAGATATTATGGCCTCCTTGCAGTATAGAGGGGGTTTTCTTGTTGGTTTTAGTCCTATTTACTTGGAAAGACAGTCCTTTTAAAAGAACTGTTTAAGGAAAAATAAAATTTTAAAACTAGAATTGAGTTTTTAATTCAGTCTCAGGTCTCTAAGAATAGTGATGAGGGGATTACAGTCTGAGAATCATTAGTTTCGCCTTCCCTCCATTTTGTTCCCCAACCACCTCACCCTTCCTGTTTTCAGCTCTCTTAGTGAGTGAAGAAATTAGTCCCCAAGGCCCTAGTGCAGACTTGACATTCTCGTTCGTGGGCTTCCCTCCTCTCCACCCACCCCTCCTCATCCCGGGAAGGGAAGCAGCTCTGTGTGAGTGAGTCTGGAATATGATATGATGGAGATAGGAAAGGCTCCCCTTGCCATTCTCAGTGTGTGGCTGATCTGCTGTGGGGCTTTGGGCACTGAAGGAACCTCTCCTCCAGGCTGCCTCTGTCTTGCTTTTCAGAACATTGTTAGAGTTCTCTTTTGGGCCTGGGAGAGTCTTCTGTGTGTTCCTGAAGATTGTCATTGTCAGCTTCTTCCTTCCACTTTTGCAGCAAGGACCACAGCTTATATATGTTGTTGCAGCTGAGTTGCAGGGCTAAAAACAGCTGCAGTTGTGTGGCCAAGCCCCATCCCAGAGAACCCTGGGTGACCCACAGCAGTCTCAGCATATCAGAGGGTGATCCTCTTCTGCCTCAGCAGGCTGGTGCATTGCTCAGGTTCCTCCTGCAGTGCATTGTTGTCCTGGAGATGCCACAGGGTTTTGTTCCAGCTCCTCCTCCCTCTTTATGGCAGCAGGCAGAGCCTGGAAATTCTCAGGAAGTTCCTCTCAGAGCTGCATCACCCGCCCTGGGGCTGAGCGGTCTCTAGGCTGCCTACCAGACCCATTGGTACTTTTACAGAGCTCCTGTGGCAAGGGATAGGAGAGCCTGATTCCTGGGCCTCTGCAAGAGCTCAGAAAAGCTCAGGCAGGTCTGAGGGTTGTCCCTGCCTGCGGCCATCCCACCACCTAGCAGGGCTGGTAAGGTGAAGTGTACAGCTGCCTCTCTGGCCTGAAGCCAGTGACCTGGTGAAGTTGAGACCTTTCTTTTCGCTTGTCTGCTTAAGTTGAAGACTGCTTTAGTTGTTGGTGGTGTTTTTTGTTTGGTGTTTTTTTGTTTGTTTGTTTTGTTTTGGTACCGGGGATTGAACTCAGGTCCTTGCACTGCAAGGCAGGCAGCAGAACCACTCAGCTAAATCCCTGGCCCCTGAAGAATGCTTTAAAGTCAAGTCAGCACTGGCAGCTTCTGTTGGCATACGCGTCCTAGGGATGGGCACTGTTTTTCTTAGCTTAGGTGCTGAAGTGTGAGAGGGTAAGAGTGATTCACATTGGTGGACTGTGTTGTGACTGGAACAGGGCACAAAGGGGAGCTTTGGTGCTTTTTACTGTTAATAGTGTTATTTCTTGATGTGATCATTTATTGTTGTTTACAATTTTGGGTGAGTTATATCATGTCTTTTCATGAGACTAGTATGGAAATTAAATATTTTTTTATTTTTGTCTTAAATTAAGAAAAATGTTTTGTAGATTCAGAAGTTATGTCAGGAATTTTGTTTCAGAAATGTGGTTTCATCCTTAAGATCTGTTAGTAGCCATGTGTCTTAAGTAATTTTTAAAATTAATTGATTGATTTTTGGTTCTAGGATCCAGCCCAGGGCCTTTCACATGCAAGCCACGCTCTTTTCCACTAATCTACTTCTCATTCCTGTCTTAAGTCATCTGTAGTGAGATAACTTCAAACACATGAATTAAAAACTAGTTCTCATTTGAATGGGGGTGTAAGAATTGATTAGCATTTCCCCCAATATAAGAATGAAAGTTATCTCCAGTAATCCTGCCATCAGAGGAAAATCCAGGCATTATTTAATCACAGAAATATGACCATAACTTCTTGTCTTTAGAGAATTGGAAGCCATTCTCTAGGGCTGATCTATGATACATGCAGATACACTTGTGACACTAAAAGTAGTTCCCTTCTTACGTTTCCATTTTATTCAAGAAAGAACAGTGTACAAGTAAGACAATTTAAAAGATGCCCTTTTCTTTGTTCTTAAACAGCAGTTTGACAAAGACATCTGTGGGTAGGGCTCACTGTTAACAGTCGCTGCCCACCCAACACAGTATCTTGGTACCCAGTTCCCAGGTCTGTTTACTTATTTGAAACTCAGCTCAGAGGTCACTTTGTTTGAAAAGCCTTTTCCTTCCAAATCCTTCCTTTTCCTCCTGCCATAAGTTATCCTTTGTGGTTGCTGCCTCTAAACTTTGTACAAAGCTTTGCTATCACATTCATTAAACTGTTGTGCAGATAACTTCTCCTGTGCTCTGGATGGATTTGGCAGTCTGACAGAGCTTATGGATCCCTTCTCTAAAGAGAAGTAATAATTTAAATGCACGAATCATGTAAAATTATAATTATATTGAAATACAGTTTCATGCCAGCATCCTTTCCCTCCCAGCACTATAAACTTAGTCCTGTTCTCTTTCTTGTCAATTGTGTTAGCTTTGTTTCTTAGAATCCAGTGATGTCTTGGGCACACTTAGATAGTCACTGAATTGAATTGTCTTTGAGAGAGATGAGAATACTTTTATCATCTGGTAATATGGCCTTTTCAACCTAAATCTTGATTTGTTCAGGTTCATCCACCTTAATTACATTTGTTTCATAGTACTACTGTGTTATTTAACAATTTAATTTTTTAAAATATTTCAAATTTTCAGAAGGATCTGAAAACAGGAAAGGCTATTATTACTTCAGTTAAAACTGAAAGGACTACTGTTTTTATTTTTATTATTTCTCAGAAAACTGTCATGGTTAATTTTTAAGAGCAAGCCCATACTTACCAAAGTTTTACCCTGCCATTGTGGAACTTAGCGAAAGATGAGTGATATATATCATTAATTTTATTCCTTTCTCCCTTCAGAATAGGAGACTTGGGAAAAATCATGATAGTGGATCATAGTTTTGTCTTTAAATACGTAGATTTTCTTTTGCTTTAGGCTTTCTTCCTCTTGGCTGTGTAGCTCTTCATTGAGGTGTGGCGGTCATTAGCCTGAGCCATCTGCATGGTGACTGAGCTCATGAGGGACCTAGAAGTGCAGCCATGAATGATTCTGCTACCAGCCAAGACACATGTGTAACATATGCATGACTTAGGGCCGGGGATCTAGCTCATTGGTTCCGTCGCCTGCTTCACAAGCACAAGATCCCAAGTTTGATCCTTGGTACTAAACAAACAAACAAACAAACAAACAAAATGACCCGATAACAGTTGGTCCTTGGCATTTGAAGCTTTTGACATAGCTTCAGTTTTATACTCCTTTTATATATTGATAAAGCTGCCTGTTTTCAATGAATTAAAGAGCTTATTTCCAGTATTCAGTGATTTAAAGTATTGGGTTGTCTGTTCTATGTCTAGGCCAAAACAACTTCATGAAATCCCAGCCTTTTACTGTCCTGACAAAAACAAAGTGAATTTCATTCCTAAAAGCGGCTCTGCTTTCTGCCTCGTCAGCATTCTCAAGCCACTCCTTCCCACACCAGATCTTACCCTCAAGGGCTCTGGCCACAGCCTGACAGTCACCACAGGTATGACAACCACCCTGATTCAGCCCATTGCCATGGCCTCCCTGTCTACAAACACAGAGCAGGACCGAGTCTCCAGAGGAACCAGCACAGTCCTGCCATCAGCCTCCCTGCTGCCACCGCCAGAACCAATTGAAGAAGCGGAAGGATAGGCCCATGTGCTGTGGCGCTGTGGTTCTGGGAAACTGAGGACTCCTCGGGTGATTCGACTGTGACAGTACCATGCACTCCCGGCTGGCTGTGGCACACCACTGCTCTCCAGAGACGTGTCAGGAAGGCTTCAGAAGCAGTATCTCCTCTGACTGAGGTTACACTCATGAAGGCCAGCGTGCTTAGCCTGCTTTTTTCCTAAAGCAGAAAGGTCTCATTCTTTACTTTGGGAAGGACAGTGTCATGTTTTTTGTTTTCAAATTAGACTTGTATAAAACAAACAAAATACAGAATATGATCCCTACAAACACGATTCCCAAAAGGAGGTGTAAATGGTGCTGCAAGAACCATCTTTTGTATGAAAAGGACTATTTTATGATACCAGTGTCACATTTTCTGAAACGCAGCAAACAGGATGTTCAAAGATTCTTTGGTGGCCTCTTGTTTCTTGCTTTTCTTCCTAGGTGTGTGCTTTTCTCAGCTGTTCCAGCTTTGGGACCAAAGGGATTGTTGACATTTTCCCAGCAGTGTTAATCTGATGACTATATTCTCCCAAATAAGAATCGATAGATAAATGCATTGAACAAGTATATATAAAAAAGAGAAAAAGCAATATTCGTACATTATGTGACTTACGTTCTTTGATGTCAAAAGTTTGTGCTTTGGGTGAAATATTTGTAAAACTGCTGTTTTCTTCACTTCACCTGTACACATTTCACCGTGTGGTCAGAAAAGTTATAGCCTGAAAACAAGTGCTTTAATGTTCTCACCCATATTGAGACTTGATTTAAAAGTCAGCGAGCCAAAAGGAAGCTATCTAGTGTTGATTGCTAGCTAGGAAAATAAGGAGCCCTTTGGTTTTCTGTGAAATGTATATCACGTGATTGCCCACCTCCACTACAGGTGCCACTCTACCTTATCATCACTGTATCATAGCCCCAGGAGACCCTCAAATGGCTGTGCATGGATTTCCTCCTTTGCTTTTGTGATGTTACTGTCTTGTGGATTTGGTCAGGGTTAGTAGTTTGCCAGGAGTGTAATCCACTGAATAACAATCCTAGCCACAGAATCTTGAGACTGACTTTTTCTTTGTGGTGATTGGCACTGAGATTTGTTGTCTACAGATTTTGCTAGTTTCCTCTTCAACATTTCCACACAGTGGAGAAAACAGACAAGAGCAGCTTTGGAGCATAAACAATAGTCACCTTTGAAAAATCCACACTGTTTTGGATTTCAGCTTATCCTAACACAAACTACTGCCAATATTATTATCACATAGTAACAGTATTTTATTTTCTGGGTATGTGGTAGTAGAATTAAGGAGTAGCTAGCTCTTAGAAATGAATTTCAGCAAGCAGTATTGATTTTGAAAAAGCACCCTTCTAATATCTTCATATACTACCTTAAAATGCAGTAATTTACATTCTATAGGCATAAAAAGGTTTTAAGTCCTTATGAAGGAGATATCATTGAAAAGGTTATTAAGTCAGCTTGTCCAGAAATGTTCTATCAAGAAAAACCTAGTGCAGTGGTGGCGAACCCTATGGCATGTGTACTGCAGGGAGCTGTTCGTTATCATTGAAAATTCTAAAAGGTTTGCCATCACCGAGGGGTAGCAATAAATCTGCAAGGATTTACATTCATGCACCTTTAAAACATCTGAGCAATTTAAAACATGCCTTTGATAGGCATTAAAATGATGTATTTAGGTAGGTCAAATGAATTCAGCCATATGAATGAATCTGTCAAGTTTTAGTTGGTAGGACTGAAGAATTTTGTTACTTTTTCCATCCAAAACTTAATTTAGGGCCTCTGTGAGCAGTGAATGCTCAGTTATTTGGGGGTCTAAATGTTCTGATGGGTTGGTTTTTGAGTATGTTGTTTGCTTGCCTTCTTGGTTATACTGTTTCACTTTACCATTTCACTGGTAAGAAGCCAAACTATTAACAAGTACAGAGGAAAAGGTAAAATTGAGATCAGTTGAGTTGATATGAATACAGCAGTAGGTAATTAATTAAAAACAAGGTTTTGCTGTTTGTTTGTTTTACTTGAGGTCTTTCCTTTGCCTCATACTTAACTTTCCTCTTCTATTTCCATTCCCACTAGTCATAATGATATTTTACAGCTAGAATGTTACTTTTTGGCAATTTTTCTTTTATTCTTTTGTACTCATTTGCAAATTCATGCCTTTACTCTGTAGTTTCATATATCCTTAAAGTAATGTAAAATCAGAATGGAAGAAAAGTTTCAGATTTATTATTTAAAAATCTTAATTTTAAATAGAACTTCTAGTTTAAAATTTGGTTATACACAGAATGTGAATTTTTAGGTAAATGAGTTGTGCCAAAGCCAAACACATCCCTTCAGTTTGGGAGAAATAGAGTCTGAGATTTGGGGGAGGCAGGAAATGATCCAAGATACAAAACACCTTAAACTGCCAGTGCCAACAGGCTAACTTTTAAGCATATGAGTTATATCACAGTCTTAAAAAGTAGGTTCATCCAAGTTGTTTTATTTAACTGTTAGTTCACAGATGGTTGATTTTTTTTTTTTAATGGCACTTACTCTCAGAATGCATACTGTATTCTAATTATGCTCCAAAATGATCGTGTCATTCTATAGAAAACTACAGAAAGTAGACATAGAATAGCTTCGGTGACATTTTAATTTGAATTTTTTCAAATTAAAATACTTCTATTGAAAAAAAGAAGCATGGGTGGTATGTATCTTTCAGCATAGTTATTATTCTGTGGTTACTTTGTCAGTCTTACCAATTTTTTACCCTTAGAATAATTTCTTCCTTGTGATGATAAAACTTAAAACATTAACCATTTCTGATTATGACAAAGTATTATTTCCATGGCTTTTATGAGCTATTCTGTTTTTAAAATTCTAGTTTTGTCTCTTTGGTTAAATATGGGGAGAATGGAAGCCAAAAATACCTTTAAACTAGATTCTTTGTTTTGTTTAAAATGTCTCTTATACTTATGACCACAGACCAAATCAGACTTTTAGAAGTTGCTACTGCTAACTGCATAATATCTGGTAACATGAAAGGCCTGTTTGCTTTCAACTGTTCAAAAAAGCATTAGCTTTCACTGGAAGGTGTTAAAGAATGGCAGAATTTGTAGCTGCCTCTATATCCAAAATTAGGACTAGGTTGTAAGGATTTTAAGGAAAATAAACATTGTTACTACTAAATTTACTTTTCTTTTTATTTATTTTTATGAGTATTGTTTGCAGTAAATGATTACCTTCATCATGGGAAGTTAGCACATGTACATAACACATCTTGATTTTTTTATTTCCCATACCTTTCCTCTACTGCCCTCCTAAATGTACTATTCTAGAATTTCAGATTCATTCCTTAATGCTTGGATTTTTGGTGTCTCAGAACTGGACCACAGGAAGCGCTGAGTTTGCAAAATTAAGTTAAGAATACTTAACTCCGCACTTTAAAGTTTACGTTTCATTCTGCTTAAATTAATGATAAGCAGAGTAGTCCTGAACAATATTTTGTTGATACAGTCCTGTTGAATATAATTTATATTTTTTAAACTCTGCATTTTTCATCTCTGTTGAAGCTGCATAAATCTTTTTAAAATGCAATTTTAAAAATTCTGTTTTCTAACAAGATTCTCCAAAAAACAGCATTTCCAATGGTAATAGATATTGTTACTATGTACTTATGTATTCCCTGTACCTGAACACTTGTTGCTGCCTCACAAGAAAATAGAACTTTTATGTTAAAAATAAAGTCTGTTCTTCTTGAAAGATATTTTTTCTGTGTATTTTTGAGTAGTCTCAAATTCAGAGTACATTTCTTTTTAGACATTGCTAGCCTGATATAATTAGAAACTGAAGTGTAATAATTTTTACAAGTTGATAGAAAAATGTTTATATTAAGCAATAGGTTCCTTCTTACCAGTACTTGAAAGTGCTTGATACTTGTGATGAGTATGAACAGACATTCATATATAAGCAGCACATGGAAAGATACATCTGTTTATAAGTAATTTAGTATTTCAAACCTAGAGATGATATTGTTTGTGCAGTCACTTAATTTTATTCTGAAGTACATGAAGAGGGCTCCCCCCCTTTAAATTCTAGCTTAACCATCCATATTCTTCCTCTGTGGCAGTGGTTTAAAACACTTATTTTGGCCTGAGGGGTTTCATCAGCACCAATGTCACAGGGCTGGGTCTGGGAAAGTCCCCAAAAAGCAGAAGTAGGAACTAAACCCACTCATAGCACAGAAGAAAGATTTTCAGGATGTGTCAGAAAGAGGAGTGAGTAGGGTTTATCAAGCAGAGGTGGAAATATAGGATGCAGTTAAGAGGAGTTCAGGCACTCAAATAAGACACGCTACAGTTTGGAACTGGAAACAGTTTTTTTGAGGGGTGGAAAGGGGAAGAAAGTGCCCCCACACCCCTTCCCACGAAAGGGTACCAGCCTGTTCCACAGGTGGGTTTTTGTTTTGGAAGGTGACTTAAACATTCTCTGTATTTGCTCAGCCTGCTCTTTAATTGGGCCAATTTATGGCCTTTTATTGATGGGTCTGGAAGGGGAGCAGTGTAGATCTAGCCAAGGACTGTTGGCATGCAGCTATCTTGGGCGACTAACCAAATCCTGGAAGTTGCTGTCTTAAAACTACAGTTTTTAGGGGGCTTCTGGCAAGATGGCAGAGCAGTAAGCAGTAACACCACCCTCTGGGATTCAGAATCCAGTTACTGGAAAATAACCTAGTGAAGAAAAGAAGGAGATTGTATCTTTGCTTACTAGAGTGACACTTAATGCAAAATATATAAGAATTTACAAGATTGGCTTACAGTGGACACCCCAAGTCAGATGTGGAAAGTGCAAGGATTGTCTGTGTTGGAGATCCAAAGGATCCAGTGAAAGCCTGGAGCTCACTGTAGTGTCCCATGGGTCTGTGCTGGAAGGCTAAAGACAACCAAAGTGAAAGTGAAGATGGGCTCTTCAGAAGAAACAAGCAGAAACATTGCCTGCCTTCTTCATTTCCCTGTTGTCATATTGTGGCACCAATCCTCCCTAGGGTCGGTCTTCCATACCCAGAACTATGCTGAGACAATTTGGGTGTTTCTTACTCAAGTTTACACAACTAACTGTCACAGAAGTGGAGTCCTGGGACGCAGGAAGGATCTGATGGAAAAGTTGCAGCCTGTAGAGAAATTGAAGAGACAATATGACATGAGGAAAGGCAGTCTGCATTGGTATCCCTGGCTCCTGACTATACAGCTCATGAGAAAGGACTGAATTTACAACGGACAGTGAAAGGTTTCCAAAAGCCATCACGTAGAAACAGCAGCAGAATGGACCAGCAGATGCTGTGAGCTACAACAGTTGGTGAGTGACTCCAGCCCAAGTACCTGCTGTATCCTTTGAAATGAGTGCTCAGATACCCTAGCAGGGATGGGACTGGTTGAGTCTGGGACCAGGAGCAGCCGTGGGTTGGCTTTATTTCAGGACTGCCAGCTTTGCACAGTGATTGGGTGAAGGTCAGGGCAGCAAAATGCACACAGTGTTTTAAGCTAAACAACTCGGATCCCATCCCCAAGTCCAGAGGCCAGGTTCAGCCTGAACCTCTGAATTTGAAAGCCGTGGGGCAGCACTTTTAACCTGGTTCTGTTACACCTCACTGGGCCAAAAATAGTCGAGGTTCTTGTGTATGACAAGCAAAGAATGCCAACCATACACCTCTTGGTATGTAATAAGTTTCTACATGTATTGAAAATTGCAAGATGGTAGCAAGAAGGGCGAAGAGAAAAGGGTCTCGAGGGTGAAAAAAGGACGCGTGTGAAGGGGACAAACAGGGACTTGATAACTCTGGCTTCCAGTAGTTACAGAATCAAACACCACTGATCCCAGGTACCTCCCACTGTCTGATGCCAGCAATTTAACTTGCCCTCTTAAATTTAAGACTAGCTAGTCATTAGGGTGGTGGTTGGATTATGGTTGAATGGAGAGAAGGGAAGTGGCTTGAATAACTTCCCTGTTTTAGGATTTTGGAAGCTTGGATAATTACAATGCTGTGGTGTTTACAGTTGAATGAAGGAAAGGGAGTGACTCGGCTCCTTTGTTTCTAACTGTACTGGTTCTGCTGCCTGCTTGCTGTGATTGAGTCCAGTACATACCTGGGCTTTGACTGTCTTCTTTGCTTGCCAGCCATAACAGGGACACATCTTAAATTGGGTGCTGCCCCTGTAGAATGTGCCCACATGAAATCACAGAAGTCATTTTTTTTTCTTCATTTGGTTGGGTTTTTTCTTTATTTTTTCTAAGTGCGAGCATTATTTTTAGGGTTGGTTAGTTTGTTTGATGGTTTTCTTTTTTCCTTTCTTCTTGCCTAACCTTCCTTCATCACCAGTTTCTTGGGGCTTCAGTAACCTTTCTTTGACCCATGCCTTGCTTGTAATATTTTTCTTCTGCTTTTCTCTGCTCCCTGTTAATTTTTCATCAAAAAAGTATTTCTCTTATTTTTACTTTATGTAGTTTTTTGTCCCTCTTTTCTATTTTCTCTTGCTAGTTTTTCTTACCTTTTAATTCCATAGATACCCTACTCCCCAGTAAGAGCCCTTGTACCACTTTTGTCTTTTTGTATCAAAGAGCTTAAGTTTCAAAGTTCCTCTCTGGAATTCCACCAGTCCCAAACCCTTTATCTTCAATAGTATAACTATACAGCTTTGTTAATCTTTTGATAATTAACTAAAATTACTGTTTTCTGCCACTAGCAAAGATACAGTTGTCACATTTAGTACATATTAGCTGTAAGTCAATTCCTGGGTTGCCTCAGTGTTTATATCTTAATTGCTGACTTTTTATCCAGGATTAAGGGTGGTATATAATAAGTTGTTATGGTATGTTAATATCTATTTTGTCTTGGGCAGTATTAGTGTAAGTGACTCAATGTTAACAGGGTCACATACTTGTTGCTATCTCTTTGTAAGCCAACACTCAGATTTCCTTTGTGACATTAATACAAGAGTACATTCCCAGATAGCTTGGATGCTGGGCTAACTACACTGTATCCTCACCTCTCAAATTGACCAAAGTGGTTGGATCTTGGGGCTGTAACAAAATATTATAGTTAACCATGTCCAAGGTACATCACTGAAAATCAGCTAAAGAGATCTCTATACTGGTAACAAAGTCTTTAGACTACAAGCATCTACAAAGTTTGTTTATCCATAAACCAATTTAAGTAGAACTTTTAGAGGATAATATATACCTGAAAGTTAACACAGAAACATACATATTAACCTAAGTCATACATGACCTTTTTATTACCAAACTTTATGGCTTCAATTTTCAAGTCTGTGCCTCAGGCTTATTAGCCCTCATCCAATAATGTTTTAAGTCAATTTGGCTACCCCAAACAATCTATATAATTGTTTTTTATGGAAAGCCCCCAGGAGCCTGAAGTTTACAAGGGCAAAAATAAAAGAAAAAATAAAATTGATTTGAGCTTAAAATACCTTTAATGAAGCAGCTACGGGTACATTAACCAGTTATTAAAATGGATTAATTGGCAGACAAGATAACACATATAACTCATAAATCAATTACGTTTAATCAGTGCTCTCTTAGATGCATTTGCCATGCTGAATTGTAATAATCATTTTCATAGTTATAGGTTAGACTAGTCCATTTTTTCTAGCACTTATCTATTAGCTCTTTTTTCTTAAGTCATAACAGTATTTCCTTTAATACTTTAAGCTACTGGAGTACCTTTCCTGTTAGTTGCCATTGTAGACTTACAACCAAGAGTCAGAAGGGGAAAAAGAAGAGTTGTAAGTTACTCTTACATATAATAATGATAGGATCATTATTTTCTTTTCTTATTATAAAACCAAGCTTGAGGTCTTTTCACTGTAACTTACATTTGAAGGAAAAGCAACCTTTTAAAGTCCTCTATCTTAAATCAGTTCCAAGTTCATAAAATATAACCTAACGGTGACATTTTGTGATAGACATTGAGTTACTCAGCCATATAAGGTGTACTACATTATCTTTGAGATCTTTCTTGTGTACTTTTGAAAAGAGATACAACGTGGAATCCTATTTAGGTGCTCAAGGTCAAGGCTGCCTGAGCACTGCCTCATCCTGGAGTCACGCTATGTGTGCAGTGTCCCCCAAACTGGGTCAGGCTACATATGCAACCTGCTCAACTGGGGGTTGCACTGCATGTGACCAGTTATTTCCATTATCTCATGATTGGAGTTTCTCACAAATTTTGCTCAAGACACTGGATCAGAAGGCCAGGGATTTAGCTCACTGGTTCCACTGCCAAGTTTTGATCCTTGTTACAAAAAAAAAAAACCCAAAAAACACTGGATCAAGTCTCATCTCTATTTTGTGTCTCCCTGGATAAGTAAGGTTTTTCAGTCTCATCTGATGGAGTGTGAGTGCTAATCAAAAGGAACTCCTAGTGAGGCCACTAAATGTCTTGGAGAGTTCCTCCTCCACCTCTCCCATTTCTGGTTAGAGCAAGTGCCTTTCATCTTTTTTTCATGCTTTTATTTATGTACCATCACTTGTTTTCTAGGGATTTAGGAGTCTAAATGCTGGAAAGGAAAAAAGACCCTAAGGGTGCAAAAATGTGTAGATCAGGAGAAAGGAAGAGAAGAAAAGATAAACTATGCTTTGGAGAACAAGGGATTGAGAGAAATGGGGAAGAAGAAAAATTAATAATGAAAAGCCTTTTTCTGAACTTAGCATGGTTTCCCAAGAGAAAATTTCACTAGGCTGGGTCTGGGAGATTTCCAGAAAAGCTGAAATAAGGAATTTAATTCACCCTTAGGTTCATTATATCCATCAAAGAAGAAGGATTTTTCAGGATGTGTCAGAGGAATGTATATAGTTTAGGCAGAGAGAGATTACAGGATGCACTCAAGAGTAGTAGTACTCAAATGGGACACAGGATGATAGTTTGGAACTGGGAACATTTAAACTTTCCTTGAGGTGGGTGAAAAGCCAGGGCAGAAAGTGCTCCCTTATCCCCTCCCTCAGGCAGAGGTGGGGTGTTTTTTTTCAAGAGGGACATTTTCTGGGTTCACTGAACCTCCTGTTTGCTTTCTTAACTGGGCCAATTTATGGCCTTTTAAGGTCTGGTAGGGGAAGAGTGTAAATCTTGCCAAGGTCTTTTGGCGTGGGGCAGTCTTGGATGACTTTGTCTAAGTTCTAGAAGTTGCATTCTTCTTAAAAGTATGATTTTTAGTTATGGTTGCCCGTCTCCTTTCTACATATCTTTTATTCCTTCTATCCCACCTCACCTGCACAGTAGAGTTGATCAGATAAACCCAATGGAGACTGACCTGCAATCACTTAGAGAGAATGTCAAATTACCAATTAAATTATTTCTAAAGGAAAAAGGTAATATATGTAATTGAATATGTTGAGTGCAAGGAGACTCTCAGATTGGAACATAAAATTTTCTCCCTTTCTGCCTCTGAAGTGGTTGTTAGAAGCAGATGTGTGAAATACTTTTAGTATCCTTTTTGTAGCAGTTTCTTGTTCATATATCAAATACCTGGTTTTTTTCCCTTGCTAAGGTATGTTTTTAAAATATAATTTTATAACTTATTGTAGAAAACAGTATGGCCAAACCAAAAGCCTTTGCATCTCTTCAGTTTAGCGTTTTTCAAAGTGATTTGAGACAAATGGGTCCAACCAACTTTTTAAAAAAGGATAGAGGGCCAGGATTTAGCTCTGTGGTTCTGGCACATACCTCGCAAGCACAAGGACCCAAGTTCAATCCCTGGTACCAAAAAAAGGGAGGGGGATAGAAAACAATTATGTTCATACATATAAGGGTAATTTGATGTGTATAAAACTTCTGTTAGAGACAGATACTCACATATGTAACAGGTTGTAATGTGACACCTTTTTGTTTATTTTGTGGTACAGAGATCAAACTGAGGGGCTTCACAATAAGCTACATACCCAGCATTTATTTTTTATGTTGAGATAAGGTCACACTAAGTTGCCCAGGATCCTCCTGTCTCAACCTCCCAGAGAGCTGGGATTACACATACGTGCCACCATGCCTGATATGTGAATTTTATTTCTTACAAAGGGTTGTAATCAAAACAGTATGAGAATTATTGCATATATCTTTAGGTTAGTCTGGTATCTTAAATGTAGAGTTGAGACTGGAGTCTTCAGGCATTGTTTCTACTTCCCTTTAATTACTATCTGTAAACTACTAGTTTTGCTAAAACACATAGACACAGAATCCTAGTCTTGCAACATTGTACACTTTCCTCAAACTAAGAACCTCTTACATACTTTGATTTTATTCACTAGTTTGGATCAGGCCTGCTGTATCATTAACATTTGGAAAAGATTATCATGGAGGCTGTGATGATTAAAAACTACAAGTATAACCATTTGTCTCAACCCTAGGCCTTAAGCAGCTGCTTTTGAAATCATTCAGTTGACTCAGGGAGAACCAGAAAGTCCTAGATTTAGGGCCACAATATGAGTATTAGTTCTGGCCCTGCTCCTTAATGGTCATGAAATTTAAAATAAAAATAAAGCTTTTTTAGCCTCAGTTTTCTTATGTGATAATGGAAATGCTGACAGTAGTGTTGTCAGTTCAATGAGATAACTTACAAAGCTGTAAGCAAACATTTGTTACCTACCTATATATTTTGTCAGGTAAGTTATTCCATAAGAAAGCCAAGAGTTTTTGGTTGTGGAAAGTGGTCCCATAAAATTCACTTTAGCTTATATTATAGTCGAGGTGTTGAGAGTAATTCTTTTTATTGTTGCTGTTTGAGACAGGGTCTCACTGTGTACTTCAGGCTGGCCTTGAACTCACTATGTAGCCCAGGTTGGCCTCGAACTCATGGCGATCTCTCTTGTCTCAGCCTCCCAAGTGCTGTGATTACAGGTATGTGCCACCATGCCCAGCTAGCATTGCTTACTTAATAACTTAGCAGATAGATGCCAAGCAATGTACATGTTACTTTTACCCTATTCTTTGCAATAACCCTATGAAACCAGGGAGTCCTGTTCTTACTGTTTCATAGGTGACAATCTTAGAATGAGATTAACTTATCTATAGTCATACACCTTGGAAATGTCAAAGTCTGTTTTCGAACCAAATCAGACTCCAGAACTCATTCTTAAACCACTTAGCTTTGCTGCTCTTTATCCTGTCCCAGGGACACTGATAAAATTCAGGTCTCAGTGTTACTGTAAATTGTGTATCACTGGGCCATTGCCTCATTTGTTCTCCCTTGTGGTCCTCTTCATCACCACAGATGCTGACAGCTAGGTTCAGAGGGCCAAAGGAAGGGCTGTTTTAGACACCCAATTCCTGGCCAGAGAAGTTAGTAACAGAAATCTCCAACCTCTGTACTTTTGAAAACTACAGAAATGTTTTTTCTTTATTGGCAAGTACACGCAGAAACTAACTTCAATTGATGGTAGATTTTTTTTCCTTTATGGAGACTTTTTTTTTCTTTTTTTAGTAGTGCTGGGGATCAAACCCAGGGCCTTGTGCATTCTAGCAAGTGCTCTACCACTGAGCTGTACCCCAGGCCCACAAAGGTAATTATTAACTCTCAGCTTAGTTTGTCCATTTTAAGGAGAAAAGAATAAAATGAAATCACCTGAACCACAATGCAGCTGTGTGCCTGAATCGCAGCATAAAAAAACAAAATACATCATAATGTTATTAGTGGTGGCCCTGCATGGTGCAGCTGTTTTTCTCTAGAGGATGTGACTGAAATATGGGATAAACAAAACAGCTTCTATGGGTGATAGGTGGTGAGGCAAAACAGTGTATCATCCTCAGGTGCAAGAGAGGCAGTCACTGTGCTGCACACCAGGAGGGGTCACAGGGGAGAGCACCAGTGAGGGGACAGAGTGAGCTTAGACCCAGGGGCAGTGCCTGGGGGCAGGGGGCACACAGGAAAGGGTGGGGCGTCAGTGGTGCATCTCTGTTTCTAGGCCTTGTTGGGGAAGAGAGGGAAGGACTCCTGGACATGGCCCCTTCTGTCATCACACTAGTTGCCTGCACCAGGTGCTCACAGCCTGTTTGGGTGAATGTAGAGGCAGCAGAAAAAGAAGTTTTAAAATGTACACAACAAATATAAAAAATATAAGCTTCAAAATATTACCTATGAACACGTTAGAACTTGATTTCCTTTTTGTATTTACTCTGTGGCCAGTGACTGGTTTACTTAGACAACTGAGTGAGAATCTGTGTCTTGACTTTCACTGCCAAGTTCAGGGCTGGGGTGCAGCTCAGTAGGGGAGTACATGTCCGTTATGCATGCCACCCTGGGTTCGATCCCCAGCTCACACTAAAAAATGTCAAGGACACTAGAGGTTTTCTTTGTGCTTTATTGTTTTGTTTTCTGAAACAGGGTCTCATTATATAGTTCAGGCTGGCTTTGATTTTGGAATCCTGCCTCAGCATCCCTGAGTGTGGGAGTACAGGCATCATCACTGTGCTGGACTTCAGGACAGTTTTTAATTGAGCTCTTTAGTTTTTTAAATGGTACATTGGAGACGGAAGAAGGTATTTTATGTCAGGCCTCTGGATATGACATGTTCTAACCAACTGTTTTTTTCCCCATCGTATTCCATAGGTAGTTTTGATTTTTTGGCTTGCTTGCTTTCTTTATGACACAAGGTCTCACTATGTAGCTCAGGCTGGCCTTGAACTCTTGGTGATCCTTTTCCCTCACCCTTCATGCTGGGATTATAGGTGTGCACCACCATGCCCGGCATTTGCCATATTTAAACTCCTTACTGTTGTATGTTTTAAATTTACTACTTTCAGTGGTACTGGATTAGTTCATATTTTGAAGTTTTATTTCATGGAAGACAGAAAACACTGAATCAGTTTTGGCTCTCTTCTTTTTAATCCTGCCTTCAACAAGCAAGCAAGTAAGGTTAAATACTATGGCTTATATTTCACTGATTATTACTTTTAGGGTCTAAAAGAAAAAAAAATTTTTTTTTTGGTACTGGGGATCGAACTCAGGACCTTGTGCTTGCGAGGCAGGTGCAGCACCACTGAGCTAAATCCCTGGATGCAAAAATTGTATATTTGATATTTATTTCTAAAAGTATATAGAGAATATACATTCATTTATTTCCCATACCTTTTGTATTAATTAGTTGCACAAGCATAGTAAAACAAACTTTTGTTTTATGCTTGCAGTCTTAATTAAAAGAGGCAGAAAAAGAGTACATCTAAACTTCCTTTGTTCAAATACTGTAAGACTTCTACATTTCTAGATGAGCTATAAAGACATTTACATGGAATAAATACCCATAGTTGAAATACACTTTTCACTGTGGAAATACTGAAACCTATTTTGTTGAAATAGAGTTTGTTTCTAATCATATCTGAGCTATGTTCTAAAAATAAAGATTTCAAGAAATCCAAAATTACACTGGTCTGATAATCCACCCTGACATTCCTGCCTCTCCTGTTAAGTCAGTGTAGGAAGAGTGGACAATATTTTGCAATTCTGGGGCTTCGGTGCATTTTTATCTGGAATAAAAGTAAAAGATAAGCATTTTCCTTCACTTAATATAAAAATACCCATTTTTGAAGCATTTTTCAGCCTAGAGTTTCAGGGTAATTTATTATTTCTGAATAGGTGCTCTAGATTGAGACAGTTACTGGCTGCTTTTGAGTGCTTATGGGGCCTTCCCTTTCACCCCTTATGAGTGTGTAACTTGTTTCCTGTAAAGGCAGTGTTGGCATAATACAGCAGAGTATCTTTCTCACACCAAATTATTAAGGATTGAGCTTCAGTTAACTAACATGGAGAAGATAACCTTCATTTCATAAGTTACTAACGTGCTCTTGAAAAATGGAATTATTAGGCTTAAAGTTATAACTGGACTTGGTAAGGCAGTAACATTGCTTTTGGGTTAAGTGGGAAAGTACCTACTCTGTTGAAATAGCAAACTAAAAATCTTCTGTGTTTCAATTTGGTGTAACTTTTGCTCTTGAAACACTCAAGTTACCCTTTCACGTTTCACAGGCTGGGATTCAGGCCTCTTGTGTAGATCACTGGTAGCTCTACTCATTGACGTGTCTGTGTTTATACTAGAGAACAGATCCATCTGTGTAGGTACATGATGAAGAAGGAAGTCTCTGTGAATGAACACGTTAGGAAGAAAGGCTACCAATGCTAAATTATAAATACAAGTACAAACCCAAGACACAAAATTAGCATTTTTGGGGGCACTCAAAAGTTGAGAGAACTAGAATTACTGTGATTCATAATCTTTGGTAGAATGATGACAATACTGCACTGTAGAAAATTTCACTGAATTAGAGGAAAAAATGTATCTGAAGAGATAATAACAGCTCATTAAAACCAGGTTAAAAATATGAAAGTGTATTAAAAGAAGACTTCACACCTTTTCCTAAGTTCCTGTCTCTGCCCTCAGATGAGGTATTTCCAGTATTTGGACTAATTGGCCAGTAGTTTTCTTTTGTGCTCCTGGGCACTACTACTGTAGTTAGGCCAGACTGCTATGGATAGATGGAGAACTGGGCTGCATTTTCCTAGGTAGTCCCATCCCTAAGAAGTATTTACTATACACTGTGACTTAGAGATTGCAAGCACTCTCTTCTTAGTCCCCTCAGAAGTTAGAAGTACATGAAAACTACTATGAATAACTTAATTAAAATGTTTTCTTAAAGAGTTGTACTGAATGACAAAAAAACACTTGACCATTTTTTCATTTTAAGGCAGTTGTCTAAGAAAAAAGCACAGAAAGTTGAATGGTTGATGTGTGTGTATTGCAGTTGTGTTTTTATCAATTTTCACTAACTTCCACTAAATAGCCTTCCCTCCAAAACATAGGTTTTAAGTGTAATAGTTTTTACTCAATAATCAGAAAGCCTTAGCTGATGTTGCCCATGGAATGGATAAATAGAAAAACAAGATATTCCCTTTTATCACACAGATTTTCTGTTGTCTCTGTCAGAAAGTATATTTTTTATATACCGTCAAGAAGTATGGAGTAAACATATGTATAAGAGGATTAGAATTGTCTTCCCTTACTCAGAAACTTCTAGGTAATCTCAGGAACGTTACTGCCCACTGGTTAGTGAATGCTCCCCTATTTTGTTTTCAGGAAGAATCTGAATACTGCACATTACTGTAGCATTGTGTGAAAAACCAGATCCAAAGATACTTGAAAGGTATCTTGTATTACTATGATGGGAAGGTAGATTGTCTTTCATAGGCTTAGAAAATCAAACATCCTGCTACTTCCCCCAAGAACATTTAATAATGGAATTTTAAATGTTCATGGTTTTATATGAATGAAAGGTACAATAACTTGACAGTTGGCCTCTAAATGGAGAAAACTACAAGTTTCTCTAATTTTCATTAAAGCAGCATGCAGTCAGTAAAGCAGCTGCAGATCTCAAACCTTGCTCTATCTTTCTAACCAAAGACAAAGCTGGTCTGGGTCTGGTGCTATTTTCCATAACAGAAAATTCCCCCTCTGAACTTTTATTAAAAATCAAGCCCAAACTACAACTCAATTTACATGTTGTCCTTTATCCACATACAGAATTCTGATAGCCAGCAAGGTCAACTGAAATATAAAATGCTTTCCAAAGGAATAGGCCTAATTCCTTATTGACAGAATTATTCTTGTTGTTTGGACGTAAATTTTGGTATTGAAATATTGTCAACTCAGTAGTTTCTAAAATTTTCCACATAGTATCAACACCTGCAAATACAATACTGAAGATATACTTAATGAGTACAAGTGTTATCCTTACCATCTGTCTAAGGTTGGCTGACAGGTGTTGAATTTGCAAACACACCACACTTTTGTGTGTGAATTATAACAAAAACTGATTTCCACAAAGACAACATGTTGTGAAAGTGATGTCTCAAAGCCCCAGAGATGACATAACAACTTCAGTCAAGCATTAAGAAGTTCATCGTCTGAGTGTCCAATGGCATCTGGGTTTGAAAGTGGATCCAAGTCTGCAAATAGATTGAACCAGGCTGACATGTCTTGGTTACCAGTGTTAGGGGCTGTTGAAAAAGAAACATTAAAGAGTTTTAGCTTTTTCAAATTATATTTTGTACCACTTTTATAATTTTTAAGTAGATTCTTCTTTTGAATAAAAAATTTGACAATAATTATATCTCTGTAAGGATAATTTTGAAAAGTTAATGCAGATACCTTGTACTTTGCTGAGGTTCCTATAATTAAGCAATTGCAGGCTACTCTGTGAAAAGACAAGTTAAAAATAAAAGGGCATGCAGTAAGTAGTATGGTTGTCTTAGAAACATTTAAATTTAAGATAACTTATAGATGGCTTTCAGATAAGGCTTAAAATTAAAAGAAACTATAATAATGTGAATAGCAATGAGTTTATAAAACTAACAGACCTAAGGGGAAAATCATTTTTAGTTATTTATAGGTCATTGTGAAGTCTGAGTTCAGTCCTCAGCACTGCAAAAACAAAACAAAACAAAAAACAGTACCCCAAGAACACAGAAAATAATGATTCAGTGCTGGGGATATAATAGTGCTTGTCTAGTATTGTGAGGCCCTAGGTTTGATTACCAGCATCACAAAATGAAAAGAATTAAACTGCCACTGAGCAGCAAACATACTACAATGGTACCTTGATTCACAAACTTAATTCTCTCATGATTCTGATCACAAAGCAAACTGGACAAGAACCAAATCAAATCCACTAGTTAAGTTCAATGTTGACTATCTGGGGATATTTGGTTTGGTTCTTGTCCAATTTGGCAGAAAGAGGTTCGGTAATTCAGGCTCCTAGTAAGACATGACTGACCTAATGTGCCTCTTCCTCTCTTCTCTCTGATGTTAGCTATCTGTGTGACCTCCTAAATGGAAGCCTGGATAATCATTATGGTGGTGTATTTACAGTTGAAAAGGGGGAGGGAGTGACTCAGCTCCTTTGTCTCTAACTATACTGTTAGGACCTGGGATGTAGTTTGGAGGCAGCACAGGCCCTATGTTCAATCTCCAGCTCAGGGAAGAGGGTCCACGTACCAATCCATTCAGCTCTTCTCTCTTTCCTATGCTACTTTATCTTGCCATGTTTCCCTGTGCCTTCTATTCTTCCCATCTCCTATGTGTGATCACATAGATATCCTCCCTCAATTATATAAGGTTTACTCCTAGCTGGGCATAGTGACACATGCCTGTATTCCCAGCACTTTGTGAGGGTAAGACAGGAGAACTGCAAGTTCAGGACCAGCCTTACTTAGAGATAGTTGTTCAAAAAAAAAAAAAAAAAAAAAAAAAAAAAAAAAAAGATCTGGATGTGTAGCTCAGTGCGAAAGCCCTGGGTTCATTCTCCGATAAAACCAAACAAAAACAAAATGAGCAAAACCTCCTATTCAAGCTGTCATGTTTACTATTAAATTTTTAAAAATGTGTCCTTTAACAATATCTAGATAATAGCATTTCCTTCCCCTCATCCCCAGAGAAGCTGTTAGCTGTCCACCCTTCAGTGCAGACATGTGATGTTTTACTTGACTTTTTGGATTGTGTTGGTGGGAGGAAAGCACATTGTATTACCTGTTTGTTGCAGCCCCTAGATTGCTAAAGAATATTCTCTAGTAATAAAAAAAAAAAGTCTTTGTTGTTTTCCAAAATCAAATATCACTTTGGCTGGATACAGGATTTGAGGCTGAAAGCCCTTACTTACAGAGCTTTTGTCATACTGTCCCACTGACTTCTAGCATCCAACGTGTTTGGTGAGATGTCTGCTCAGCTAGATTCTTGTACTTTTTATTTTTCCATTAACCGATTTTAATAACATGACATAAAGTCCCTAGAACTGATATAATCATTATGCAAAATACATGGATGAATACTGTTTTCTTTTAAATATATAAAATAAATAAGGAAGACGTGAAAACAGGCAGATTTCAACTAAATAAATGAAAACTTTTAAAAAAACAAAGTTTGGGCTGGGGATTTAGCTCAGTGGTTCTGCTGCCTGGCCTTACAAGCACAAGGACCCGAGCTCGATCTCCGGTACCAAAAAAATTAAAATTAAAATTAAAAAAAACAAAGTTTTCCTTTCCATGTCATTTGAAGAAGGGAAATTATCATTTTAAACAATATTCATTTATTAAACAAATTTAAAAGGTATTATAAACTTTAACTTTCGTGAGCTTCAAGGTTTATGTTGCTGCCGAATTTTGCATATAACTGAACCTTCAAATCTGCTAACACTGGCTGAATTGATTCTACTCTGGATTCTAAGGCATTAATTTCTTCTTGCAAATTTTTCTTTGCTTCTTTTTTTTGGGGAGGGTGGGGTACCTGGGATCAAACTCGGGTCCTTGCGCTTGCAAGGCAGGCGGTGAAACCACTGAGCCAAATCTCCAGCCCATTTCTTTGCTTCTTCTAATGTGTCTTGTGTTTCTTGAGAATAGCTGATGAAAACATCTCCAGGCTGGTAAGGTATCATGACACTGCCTTCATCTGAGAGCATTGTGTTGTCACAAGCATCTTCTAAATTCTGAAGTTGTTTCTTTTTTACTTCTATTTCTTCCTTTAGCTCTGTGATTCTACTTGTATTCCACACAAATACATCTTTTGTTGATCTTTGAAAGTAACACTGACATCTTCTGCAGCCGCCTTCTTCATAGCTGCCACTATCTTGGGACTCTCTTGTATTGTAATTCTTAAGATTTGTCTAATTTGCTATTCAGTTCATATATTTTTTTTTCTTTAATGGTTGTTTTCAATATCCTCATTTATTTTAGAATTTTCTATTTCCTCTATCAACTCTGTTTTTGGTGAGGCTAAATCTTTTACTTCCTGCCTCTATTTCCTGGTACATAAGTACTTTGAATTTTTCACTTCAGGTACTATGTTTTTCCTTTTAAAATTTCCCTTATGTTATTTCTGAGGTTTTCCATCATCTCTTCAAATATGACGTCCTGCCTTTCCATCAATAATTCAAACATTCATATTGCTCACTAAGTCTTTGTATTTTGAGTACAACATAGAGGCCATTTGTCTTCATGGATGCCTTCTTTCTTTCCAAAGAGATCTGATCTGTACCCTAGAAGTCATCAACTCTTTTTTTTTTTTGGTACCGGGGATCAAACTCAGGTCCTTGCGTTTGCAAGGCACTCAGCAGAACCACTGAGCTAAATCCCTGGCCCAGTCATCAACTCTTTATCTGATGTAGTTGAGGACTCCCTCTTGTCAGCACCTCCTTCCCATCAACTACCTCCTCAACAACCTTCTCAGTTAGTACCTTCAAGAAATAAAGGCCATTTCCTGAATCCATCCCATTCTAGGTCTGGGTCTACTTTCCATAGGTCCTTAGACTCAGTGAACCTTACATCCGAGCACACCACTGTTCTACCTCTTTGAGATGTGGCAAGCACCAATGATACAGTTCACAAGGTACTTTTTTCAGTTACAGATCTTCAACAGTGCAAAGAAAATTAGATTTTCTGGAGATCCTGAAGCTTGCTGATGGTTTCTAAACACTAATGATGCTTTTGATCTGACCTGGAAAGATATCCAATTCATTCTTATTTCTTGTTGCACAGCAGTAGAAAGACAAAGGAGTATAAAAGCTGCAAAGCAGGCTAAGTGAAAGTTACACATCAAGGCCATTTTAGCTGGTAGTCAGGCAACAAGGGATGTTCAAGACTGTGAACTACAACAAGTTCAGGTCTGTTAGTCAAGGCCCCAATGAGAATCCAGTTGCTTTTCACTTTGGCTTGAAGAGGCCTTCTGTAAATGCACTAATTTAGACTCTTAAGTCTAGAGAAGGTCAGAATATCCTAGGGGTGTTACTTTTATTAGATAGTCAACTCCAGATATTAGCAAAAAGGCTCCAAAAACCCCAACTGGGCCACAGACCAAAATAAGCCATTGGTCGAAGTTTATTTGATATTCAATAACTATGATAAAGTAGAAGACAAATGAGAACTAGATAAGGAAAGGAGACAAGAAAATTGAAATTCTTAAATTGTACTTAAAAAAAATACCTGCAGCCTCAGTACACAAGATGTTTATCTATTATTTTTTCTTTTCCCAAACAGTAAACCTGAGCAACTCTCTTTAGCTGCAACTGAGTCTGCCCATTCACTTTTACTTACTAACTTGGCCCTCTTTCACCCATGAATGGACCACTCTTTTGGGATTTTCCATAGGAATAGACCATTATCTCCCTAGGGGTGGGCTATTCTCTCCCACCCACTAAGATTATTAAATGACACAGATTTCCATCTCTCAAAATACATAAAGGATCTTTAATTCCCAACTATATTGTGCCTCATTTCTTTGAGTACCTGCATTTCACTCTCAACTGCATCCAATATCTACCTATAATAAATTTTCCTCATGTCTCTTTTATTGCCACGTCCTCAGAATTCTTTTGGCATGACAAGTGTCAGTGAATGTGCATACATATTTTAAAGAGGTTGATTAAGGTGGTATTTTTTTTTTTTTTTTTTTTGGTACCAGGGATCGAACTTGGGACTTTGCACTTGGCGAGGTAGGCACTGGAACCACTTGAGGTAAATCCCCAGCCCTTGATTAAGTTTCTTAAGGGTCATAAACAATACTATAGGCCAGTACTAAAGAACCAGGAGCTAGGCCAAATAGGCAGCAATTTCTTATTCCCACATAAATTGAAGATGTAGGATTTTGCAACAGACTCAAAACCCACACTTCAGAAAAGTAGTCATTTCCTAAGGGTTCTCAATACTAGCAATGAAGCTACCTGCCATAAGCAATGTACAAGCACAAACCCAGGAATTAACTAAAAGATTTAAAAAAAAAAAAAGAAAGAAAATGGGAAGACACTGGAAGTAAGATTCAACCTCAGACTTTCAGCTCACCAAAGGCAAACCAAGGGAGCATTGAGGTAGAACATTTCAAAAGCCATCCACCTAGAAAATCTGAAGCAGTAAAAGCAAAAGTAACTAAGCAGATGAATGAGGCTCTAGAAAAAAATCAAGTAAGAAATAGTCTCTCAGCTAACTACAAAGATGGTGACCATAATAAAAGTCAT